ATTCAGTTTGTCCAAACTTCAGCTGACCAAGAAAGTTGCAGGCAATTTTGAAGTGAAATAACAGTATTGTTTCAAAACAGTTTGCACAGGACATCTAATGATCTCTGTTCCAATCAAGTCAATGGTTTTTCAGAATTCACAAAAAAACCTCACAAACCCCAACAGATGCTGCTGGCTAATGATAAAACAGGATTGTGAAAACAGGCAAACTTTAAGATGCTAGTGAGCTGGGTTTTTTGCTGGTATGCATTCCATATTTTCTACATGCATATATACACATATATACATATATACACAGTGGCACATAAAGTCAGAAGCACAACCAATATTTTCATCTTGTGTGAACTTTGAAAGTTAGGATTTTATCAGTTAAACACTCTGTAAATCAGTTTAGCCCAAAGAAGCATTTTGATTGCCTAATTTACCTTTGTAAAGGAGAAGTAAATCTTTTAAGTTGGTCTCCGTAAGCCTCACAGCTGGAACATTCTAACACTACTTTGCAGTTTCTAGTGATCAAAGTAAGTTACTTTATATCTAAAACTAAGAATTTCATAATAGAAATAATGCAACACCAGGGGGTGCAGTTATCATGCAATAATTACACTCCTGGGAGATTACAGACAAGGCTGTACCCCAGGGGTGTGATTATCCCATGATAACCACATCCACTGAAATTGCCTTATTGCAAAAATAATCTCTGTTCACTGGTGAGATATTATTCAATAGGTGCTTTTTTAATGGTAAGATTATTATTTTTTTGTATGAATTGCTACCTAGATTAGTAAAATGGTCCCAGAAGCAAAATAACCAAGCCACCATGCCCAAGTTAAGGTACTGATTGCAACAATTTTTGTTTGCTGAAGCACTGCAATGTATGTTAGCTCTTGAAAGACAGCAGAAGACAGTTCTGTGCCACAGACACCCTCTGCCCTGCAGTGGTTTCACTGGAGGAAACCGAAGGCTGTGACTGGTCTTTGCACACGAAATATTCAACACCAAATCCAACATGACAATTGACAACCAGTTTTATGTGTCAAGAGGAACATTACAATATAGACTTCACATCGGATTAAAAGACAGCTATTCTTCTGCTGAAATGACAGAGTCATAGCTTATAAAATTTACGGGAAAGAAAAAGCCTATATTGGACATGATGTGGGGGGAAAAAAATCTCAGTTAATAATTCTTCTTTTTCCTTATGGAGAAACAGAGCAGGAACTTTAGACAGATCAACTAAATCAGACATGAGTTTCACTTCCATTTATTTGCAGTCAAACGTTTCCTATGACTCTGAAATAAACAGTCAGTCCAAACAAGACATTTTGTTTCACTCTTTCTGAAGCAGGAAAAAAATTAGAACAAAACACTAACTGAACTTGTATCAAGGCCTGCTACAAATCTTTGACAGGGAAGCCAGACCATTTTTTAAAACCTCCTTCTGAAGAAATCAGTGATGCTAGTGTCCTTAGTACACCAGATTCAGAACCATGAAGCCCAATGTTCCCACACACAGACTGGGCAGAGATTCCTCACCAGGCAGGATGCTCAGCAGCACATGGACCAAAACCTTTCAACACTGTGCTGATGCATGATGTGCTCTAGCAAGGGAGATTATTTGCAAAGTTTGAAAAATTCTAATCTAAATTTAGCTAGGATAACTATCACGCACCGCCTAAAAATATTGTTCCATTCAATTTGCATGAAAAGGATGTAAGATCAACTTCTATTAGGATAAAAAGATTATAAATCGGAAGAAATGAAACACTACCAAGTAAGTAACTTCAAAGCAACAGAGCTCTTTCCAAAGAATATAAAAAAACCCCAAAGATTTGCTCCTTAAAAAACAAAGTTTAGTTATCTAGAATTTAAATTTGGTCCTTCTAATACAATTAATTTCATAAACTAATTGGAGTCCTTGTACATTGACTACTGTACTAAAATTTTACTCTTGTTTCACCTTTCTTCCTCATTATATCTGTTTCTCAGATGTACTCTTCCATTTATGAGACAATATTTATATTTCAATTTCCTGAAACACCAGCTAGAAAGAAGCTTTCAACTTCCTTCTAAATATGGCAATACTTCCTAACCTTTGAAAGTACAATATGCTCTAATAATTTAGCCAAACGTTTTTCAACTCTCTAGCAGTTCATTACAAACGTATTTTTACACACTGAGTTATTAAAAAGCCCAAATAAACTTAGAACACATTCCAGACCTGCTGTATACTACCAGTAATCATGGCCTATCCTTGAAATCCCTATTCACTGCTCTGTTCAGAGACACATGTCTTAACCTCTACATTTTAGAGACGAACGAACAGCTTCAGAAAAACTGAACAAACTTTACCTGACTTTAGAAGCCAAGCAGTTTTGTACTTTTTTTTTTCCTGGTGCTGACAATCACAATAAATGAAAACTGTGGACTATTTATGTAGTTTTTTTACCAGCTTTCTGAGCATAAGGAGATACTTGTGACAAATGGAGGAGGGGGTGCTTGGGAAGCAATTCATGTGCAACTCAACCTGTTTCAAGTGCAAGGGATGCTTTTAAACCTAATCACCAGTTCACGAAACAAAGAACAGTTTCATAAAAAGATGATCCCATAAAAAGTCTCTGTCCCTTCCAAAGTAGTATTTTCTAGAGCTCTAAAGCCAGTTTAAAGAACAGTGTGGCAATGGACATTTTTGCAGTACTATAAAGCAATAAAAATAATCAGAAATTTAGTTTAGAAAGCAGCTTAGGAGTGCATGCAATTACTGATAAAGAGAAGCAGGAAGAAACAGAGCTTGAGTAGGTGTAGTGCACAGAGTAGCAGAAGAAGGCTCTTGGAGGTGGTAACAGATGCAGCAGAGCTACCTGTGGATCTGCAGCACGATAACAACTGGGCTGAACTCTCAGCAATGCAAAGTAATTACTCCCATCCCACCCAACACAGCACTGCTGCCAGGATTTCAACACATACTTTTTTTAAAATATGTGGCATGTGCTTTAACATACCACGTGGATGAATTGTGAGTCTGTGTTGTCACTTAACTGTAGTGCTTCATTTACACACATTTCCAGAAGTCATCAGAGGCTTGTAACTTAACTTGTTATTAAATCAGATGAAGTTTTAGAAAAGTTGATGAAAGGTTTGTATTCCTGAAGCTAGAAAAAGCAGACAACCTTTCGTATGACGTTGTAATTAATATTACCACTTTCTTTAAGCCTGTATTTGCTATTGAATCAAGAACTTTTAAGCTTTACCTGCAGTGTTTTTACATAGTTTCCCTGGAAGAAAGAGAAAGTAGCAGTATCATTACAGCTGACTATTCAAATTCAAGAGCAGAGTCTTACAAATTATATATACAAATCCTGATCTGTCGCCCACTCTTACTCCCTAAAAATCCTTCCTCAGCCTACAAGAGTCTAAGCTCAGCATAGCACACTGCCTTCTAAGTTCCAGAGTTGAAAATGAGAGGGCACTGGCACAGTCTGAGAACATCTAAGTACTTTTACACCATTTTCCTTCATGCAAAATTCATCATATATGCTAAGTGGACTCTTTAGGCTTAGAAAGATGATTTGAAAAGCCATCTGGGGGACATCTCTTCAAGTGGGAAACACCCACAGCAGTCAAACGTTGCCTACACTTACATATGAAACAAGCAGTTACTCTTCTACTGACACTTCAATGTCTGTATTACACTGTAATGAATAATAAGGAATGCATATTCAGGTTTGTGCAAGCATGTACAAATATTTTCTGCTTTCTCAGCTAAACACCCCTAAAATTTACCCACATAATTTGAACTGAGGTGTGGACAGTGAGTTCTGTAGCACAAAAGCATCTCTGACATGCAAGAGCTGCATATAATTCTACCACCAACAAATGCTCTAAGCACAATTTTTTTCTAAGATAAGCACCATGCAAGAAAGTGATTTAATTTTATAATCAACTGAACAGAAAGGCTGAGCAAGTCAACTACAGGATGAGTAATACAACGGCATAATCATCAGACAACGCCTAAAAAGAGAGGAGAGTAAGAGGCACCATTTCCTTTAACACAACTCTTCCAGGCTTCATCCCAAAGAAACTATGCATCTATGTGACCTAATTCTGAAAAACAAGATTGTTGGTAGGCTAAATATGTAACAAAACTAGGAGCTGTTACATGAAATAGATAACCTGAAGGAAGACAGAAGAAAAGCAGAAAGCATGAAGTGTGCAACTGTAATGGTATCCTTGCAAAATCCAAGACACAACATAGGACTTTAAAGCACAGTACAGCAAGGCTGAAGACTCATCCATGCTCCCTAATGTTTCTTTAACATGCCCCAATTTTAAGAAACTTAAAAGCATTACAACTTGGGTTAACTCACGTTAAAAAAGTACTGTAGACAAAAAAATATTCAATTTGTGTGTTTATACCCACTTATTCAAACATAATCTAGCACTAACTGCTGTGTGACTTCAAGGAACAGGAGAGCTAATAGAAGAAAAAAAATCATAGTTCAAGAAGCAAAAAGAAGTCAGATGAAAGGAAGTCAGACATTTGGAAATCTAGGTTTCAATTGCTTGTCCACTTACACAATTACACATTTCAAAAAGCCCATAAACCTCTCCTTTTTACCAAGTGATTAACAAAGATATAATGATATATTCCATCTTATCCAAGCAGTTGGCTTAAATTTGAACTGAGAGAGTCTTTGACAATCCACTCATTTTTTTGGTGACACAAATTTTCTCATTCTGATCTAAAGTCTCATTGCAGTTTCTCAGTTTTAGGCAAGATAGGATCAAAGCAATATGGAATCTTTTTAAAATGAGTTACTAATTAGAAAATTAGGTCCCTGCAATTTGAAATAATTAACTCAAAATTGTGGATCCTACATTTGGAATTATCTGCTTTCCAGATTTCATCAACTCTCTGAAATATGATAAACCTTCTGAAATTAAACATTATGAGCTCCCCCCATATGTCTAACCAGAACCTTTAAAAACCATTCACTGCCTACCTGAACCATCACTGGAGACTGAACTTGCATTGATTCCGGAAAGGCCAAACAAGGGACATTCTCGATCAGTGTTGATATGACCCCACTTGTGGCATTTAATACATCTCACATTCCGCACCTAAAGGCAACAAAGCCAATAGACACAACTTAGTCACCAATACAGCTGAACATCTACACAAATCTGTGTCATTAGGCATAAGAGAAGCTCTTAAACCCACTGAAAAAGAGATGATAAAATTAAGAGTCCATGTGAATATTCTGCAATTAGACAATATTTGAAGTACATGCCAGAAATCCACAGAGTGAAATTTATGTAACTTGCCTGGATACCAAATGGCTGATCTCTGATATTCATATCATCCTTAGCATATCTGTACACAAACACAAAGTTTACAAGTTAACAAGTTTTACTAATTAAATGTCAGGACAGGATATGACAAGATCACACAAGTGACCTGCTCAAAAATACAAAAGGGGAAAAAAGGGGGGGAAAAGGGACAAAAAGTATATGAAGAAATCCAGATATCTTACTTTTCTCGAGGAGCAACTTTTTGCCATTCAAATTTGTATTCAGTCTCTCCTTCTTGCTATAAAAAAGAAAACATGGTAAATTTGAAGTTTTTCAGAATATATTTTAAGTAAGCAAGAAGAAAACATAAAGAAATAATGTAATGAAATACCTCTTTTGTTTCCTCTTTGAATTTTCAGAAAGCATGGAAAGAAAAGAAATTACACATTAATTATACATGTAAAATGCAGATGGTATTCCCCCTAAGCTAAAGGCAAAACATTTCATGGTTTATACTAATCAATAGTGCAAATACTCAGGAAGTAGCCTTATTTAAATAGAGTGCACTTACAAATAACCAGCCTCTAGTATATAGCTATAAATCCTATAAATCCAGAATCACCTTCTGAAACTATGTGGATTTGTTACACAAAAAAAAAAATTAGACATTTTTTGCAGGAGTAGTAACAATACTTACTTTTAAGATATTAAAAAAAGAAGTTTAGCAATAATTGGTACTTTGAAATTGCATTTCCTCTAAGCTTAAGAGATTATTATTAGAGCTTCTAAAGTTAAATAATCAGAAAACTTCATCTACGAGAATGAGTCCATCCAAGCACTGCCAAGTGTTTTCATGCAAATGGGAAAGATGCATTTTAAAGGGAACATGTTTTCTCTTAGATGGAATATATTTTTTTAGTTCTTCACTTACATTCAGATCTTGCTAAAATTAAGTGATTGATATGACTGTCCACCAGGTATTTAGAAACTTTCATTTATGACACTACTAGACAGTCATAGACTCACCAGACACAGGTCAGGCAGCACTTCTGACTACTGAATTTCAGCATTTATTCTTTTTATAACTTCTGATAATTAGTTTCTTGCTCAGGTATTTCCTATACTTGACAAGCATCAAGCTGAATTATGGGTGTAACTTTTAAAACAAAAGCAACCTGCTATTTCTATAGAGGAGAGCAGGCCAAAATACAGGTCTGTGCTGTCTGAGTTGTTGCTTTGGTAAGGTCTTATCCTCCTCATGCAGTGGCTTTTCAATTGGCTAAAGAAACACCCTTTGGTTGAGGACAGGACTTATGCTGCTTCCTGGAAAGATATTTTATCTGGTTTTTCCCTTCACATTGAACTGTCACTTAAAAAAACCCCAACCATTCTCTTTGAAAGAAATTAAAGTTTTATGAGATCAAAATTATTACATACTATATCTCTATATCTCTCTGTCTGCCTATTCCCACAGAAAGAATTTAAAACTATCAAAACTCCTATCATTACCTCAGTATGAACCTGTTATTTTACAATAAAATACATTGTTTTTATTTCTTCAGGAGGTTTTCAGTTATCCAGTACTATCTGCCCACAATCAGGAAATTACAATACCTTTCTTTGCTCCAGGTGGGGCCTCATACATAAAATTAAGACCATTCTTCACACGCTCATCACCCATAAGCAACCTAAATAAAAAAGGGCAGTTTGGGGTGTTACACACAGAAGAGTCACATTGGTAACACTCACAAAAAGAAAAACAACACAACAATGAAATTGTTGTGATAACTAGCATTTTTTCATTTGTTGATGTAACAAAATCTGAGTATCAAAAATCCTGAGAGACAAGTCAATGCTCTTGCATGACCCACTGTGTACCAAAAATCACACATTTCAATCTCAACTGAAAAGTAGTATGTCCAGAGTAATGAAAAACAGATTTCTGTGTGATAAAAATGTATAATTATACAAGGTTACCGACTGTTTTGTGAAACGTAGCATATTTTGAAATTAATTAGAAGACAGGCACAAACCACTTTAAAGAAGTTCTTGTGATTTCTGCTTAATCAGACATCACTTAATGAATCACTGCCCTCTCCTGCTTCTACAATCAATAGTGGACAGTACTTCAAATTGCTCACAGCAATATCACCCTCATTACCACGAAAACAAGACAGGAGGAAGAACTGCGCGACCTTAAGCCAATTCTCACCTATTATCATAGGATTCCTGTTCTTTCAGATACTGTTGCATTAATTCTTCTTGTTTCTTCTTATCATATGAGATTTTCTGTTCTGCCATCCATACCTAGATAAAATAATTAAGCTTCTACTTAAATACAGAAACTATTGCAGAATATATTAATGTATAAATAACTGGCTTACTCAGTTGAAAATGCTTAACGAGGGATGATCACCATTCTAGTCGCATAAAACACGTTATTTTCATTCGGTATTTTAACGAATGAACTTCCTACAGCAATAATTTTGAGAAATTCCAAGCGCCTATTTGTCCTGAGAATCAGGCGTTGAAAAGCCTGAGCCAGGAAAATGCGACAGTCACACATACCTAGGAACAAGAAAACCCGAAGCTTCAACTATTTCTTAACTATCTTCCCTCCCTCCTCTTTGCCCCAGCCCCGGTGCCAGCCCCGGCAGGTGAGGAGCACTACTCGGGCCGCTGCGGTGCCGGCAGCCCAAGCCGTCCCCCCGGGCCCCCCTCACCTTTTTGATGTTGGACTTGGAGGCGGGGTGAAAATCCTTCTTGCACATGAAGTTGGCGAACGACTTCCCCATGGCGGCGGCGGCGGAATGGGGCCCGCGGGCCGCCGCACGGACAGGCACGGGCACAGGCACAGGCACGGGCACGGGCACGGGCACGGAGGGGCTCCGGGGCGGCCTCGGCCTCGGCCTCCCTTCCGGGCCGGCGGGCGGGCCTTCCGCCGGCCCCGCCCCGGAGCTGCCGCCGTCCGCCCGTACCGGGCCCGCGCCGCGCTCGGGGCCCTCAGCCCTCGGCCCTCACCATGTTCCCCCGGCCGCCGCCGCTCTCCTGCGACACCTTCGTGGCGCTGCCGCCCGCCGCGCCCGGGGGCCGCGTGGTGTTCGGCAAGAACTCGGACCGGCCGGCAGACGAGGTGCAGGAGGTCGTGCACTTCCCGGCCGCCGCGCACCCGCCCGGCGCCGCGCTGGAGGTGAGGGCGCGGGGCAGGAGCGGCCAGAACACCGCTGTCAGCCCTTGCTTGCGCGCTTAGCCCGCCCTTCGGCCGGCGGATCGGGCACGGTGACGCCATGTGTGCTCTGACCTCTTGCAGTGCACCTACATCAGCATCGAGCAGGTGGAGAGGACGCACGCCGTGGTGCTGAGCCGCCCCGCCTGGCTCTGGGGGGCCGAGATGGGCGCCAACGAGCACGGCGTGTGCATCGGCAACGAGGCGGTGTGGGGCAGGGAGGAGGCCTGCGATGGGGAAGCTCTCCTCGGCATGGACCTCGTAAGGTGTGCACAGGGCGGGGGCGTTCCCCTTTTTGGTAAATGGTACCGGATTTGGAATTTACGTGGAAACACGTGGTTTGAGGCATATGGGGAAATAGCACTTTCACTTTCGGAAGACACTTCCACTCTTCTAGCCGCGATTAAAAATAAGCATTTCTTGGCACAAGCACTAGATTTCTGCCAGGAGCTCAGGAGAAGTATCAGGCACTAGACCAAAATTTGCGAAAGAAATTAGCAAACGTTTTTCTTTCTATAAAGTTTATTTTAAAATTATTTATTTTTATTTATAATTTTCTTTCTATAAATTTTTTTCTATAAAATTCGTTTATAAAATTTTATTTTATGGACTTCAGGCACTACTGTTTTAACGTTTTCTTAGGCTCTGTACTGCTTTCCTATTCCCCCATTTTTCACACATATATTTTAAGTTTTGAACTCAGCTGCCTATTTCCATGTAAGTAACAAGTTAATGTTCCTACCCTATAAGTGCCAATGTAATTCCCATTAACCTACAGCAGTCAGTAATTTCTTTTGGTAGTTTACCCCCAGTCCAATACCTGTACAGGACTCATAAACATTTTGTAGGCTCTCTTCCTGCCTCTCTGTATTTCCATTTGGTGTTTTTCCCCATGTCAAGTTCATAGACGATCCACTTCAAAGAAGCCCTTTACCTGACTTGTGTTTCCCTTACCAGATCATACAACTGGCAGCTGCATATAGAAATATCATTCCAGGTAAATTTGAGTACTCAGGCTGAATAGTTCTATGTGGAGTTCATAGTTTCAAAAATAACATTTTCCTTTTGTTTTAGGCTTGGACTTGAGAGAGCAGACACAGCTGAAAAGGCTCTTAATGTCATAGTTGATTTGCTGGAAAAATACGGACAAGGAGGAAACTGTATGGAGAGCAACATGGCATTTACATACCACAACAGTTTTCTGATAGCTGACAGAAAGGAAGCATGGGTGCTGGAGACATCAGGAAAATACTGGGCAGCAGAAAAAGTAGAAGGTATGGATGATGCTCTTTGTTCTAAAAATTTCAAGTGCAATGGTCACTTGGGAGTTCCTCAGTTTTGATCTCATTAAGCCATCAAACTAACCTCAAGCTGCATACATTGTGCCTGTAAACAACAGACATTGCTTCCTGGGGCATGAGTGTGGAGTAGCTGGCAGTTTGTCAGAGGAGTTGTGTGACAGGGGCCTTTTCAAAGCCAGAGATTAACACTCCTGCACTTGGGAAACAGACGACAGCAAGAAAGTCAGCATGAGAACAACAGCAGTATGTGTGGCCTTAAGGATGGTAGCAATCCATGACAATTTCATTTTGGGACAGGATTGATGTACTGGGCCCTGAAGTGGCTGATTCTTCCAGTGGACTTAGGAGGACAAGCTCGATCTTTGCATGTCTCAGAAGAAGAATGTAAAGCTGGGAATAATCAGGACAGAACCTGAAATACAATGCTGGCACTAGAAGCAAATGAGTCAGAAATGAGTGGCAGTGAAAATTCAATCAGAAAAATAGATGTGGTTGGGGAGAGAAGGCCAAAAATAAACCACCAGACTCACTATCTTGTAGGAAACTCTCCAGGGCTAATTTGGTTTACTAAGCTAATTGTAAATAAAATACTAAGAAAAATCATCCAGTGTATTAAAACAGTTCTTTCTGCAACTTACAAACAGGAGGCATACGGAATATTTCCAACCAGCTCTCTATCACAACCAAGATTGACAGAGAGCACCCAGAACTGAAGGAATATGCCAAAAGCAATGGCTGGTGGGATGGGGAAAAGGAATTTGATTTTGCTGCCACGTATTCTTACGTCAATACTGCCAGAATGACCACATCTGGAGGCCGATACTGTGAAGGCTATAAACTTCTGAAAAAACACCAAGGTATCCTTTAAAATTTTTTTCAAGATATGCAAAGTATTTAGTGAGCGACATTAAGTCATAAATGATTATTCATCTGATGCAGGCAATCATTCACATGACTTGGTGAACCAGAACTTACTAGAATAATTTTTGCCTTAAAGAGAAGCGCTGAACTTGGAAGTTTCTATCCATTTTTTGCTAATTTATTGAGGAGAAAAAATTAAAACAAGTGTCAAATATCAAACATACAGAGCTACAGTAGTAATCCTGAGATGTCACATTATGACCATACCACTAAATACCCTGTAAAACTGTTCTGAAACAGAAACATTTTGATAGGCTACATATTATTATTGTACTGCTAAGGAAAAAAACTAGAGGCTAGAACAGATTCCCAGCAGTTTGCCGCCACAAAGAATCTAATAAACAGCTTCAGTCAGGTATCATTTATATAAGGCAACAGCATGGCATTCAGATACATATCTTGCATTTATTTTTGACAACTTTTACATCTTTGTAGTTTCACTGTAATGGCTACTCTAAACTTGTGTAGTCTACTGAAACACACCAAGAGCAGAACAAAACAATTTTCTCTAAGCAGTTACTAACTCATACGCTTATTTTTCAGACTTCTAAAGAAAGAACCGATTACTTCTCTTCTAACTGCATCCACCTAGCAGGTTTTTGCTGTAGCTGTATTCAGATGCTCATTTGAAGCAATTAATCTGAATCAAGGTTACATTGCACCCCTTTGTTTTTTTATTTGGCTGAACTTGGCCAGACCAGGTTTAGCATTTAGTTAATGCATCAGAGTGAATTACTTTTGCTATCTTGCTCTAGTGATCATGTAAATCCTGCATTCATTTTGGGAATTGCAGGTTCTGAATACTGAAAGCATTTTCATAATACCTGTATTTACTTGTATTATAACAATGCTGAGATTGTATCTGTGTTTTTGCTCTAAATCCCCATTTTCAGGCATTTACCTGAGCCATTTCAGAAATCCCACTAGGTGTTCAGGTTATCAGCCTCATATGGTTCACTTTGTTTAGATTTATTTTAAATAGGTGACCTAACTAAAAGATATTTGGTTTACAGCATCAGTAAAATCACTGGTTTCTTCATCTATCCTTGCCTGCTTTTTCACTCAATGGCATTACAGTTGTGGGGTTTTTCCAAGCTGCCTACTATGTGAGGGCCATTTTTAGAGAAATATTATTCATATTTCAAAAACTAGGGAATGTATTTATTATGCAAAATAGAGTCTAGTGGAAAATATGCAGTACCTTCTTCCCTGCTGGACAGATTGCCAAGTTGTAGCTGACAAAATGACCATTGCTTCTTTGAATTTCTTTGATTCATCTAGCTTGCTGATTTCTTTAATTCTCTGACCTTCCTAGGCAACTGTAGGAATACTTGGGGTTTTTTTGCTGAAATATAATGCTGCATGCCTGTCTACAGTCAACCTGGGCCGTATATGAAAAAATAATATTGGAGACATTTCACTTAGCAGTAGAGTAACTATGTTAAGAGGAAACAGCAAGGCAGTTAAAAAAAAATAAATTTTACACAGTTAGAACTCAGTAAGGGAAACACTAAAATATTCAAGTGGTAGATGATACCTTCCAATAAAAAATAGTGAGGGAACTATTGTTTTTCTGCCATAAGCATACCCTCTACTGGTACACCAAATGTGAAAAGAAAACCATTCTGCAAGAGCTGCCTGTTAGAATATTGGATGGTTTGGTGATACCATGGCTGTATCTGAGCTTCAGCATACACTATGCAGCAACAGTGGTATCATCTGAACAGGCATATGTGGAAAGAGTTTTGTTCCTCCTGAGCAGGAGTTACTTTCATAGATACTTGGCACTAAACCTCACACAGGTTGCTGATAAAGACTTTTCTACAAATGGATGTACTACTGTAGCTTCTGAGCATATACATAATGCCACTCCAGTGCATCCTTGAAAAGGATAACAATAAAAAAGAACACCCACTGACCCCCCCCCGGCCAAAACAAGTGACAGTCTTGGTGTTTCATTTTCAAAGTTTCGCACAAAATCTGTGCATGGCTGTTATTACTTTTATAATTTCAAAGCAACATAGTGGTTTTAACTCTGTTCAAATACCAACCACTATTATGATGATTTATCATAACTTCCACAGAGTGCTCAAAGTTCAGCATTTAATCCAAGTTACTAATTGTCATCTGAAAAGTTACTTTGTGAATGACCATTTGCTAGCCCTGTGAAATTTACCTTTCTGGGAAATACCATTTGTCTTTCTACTCCCTCTTTTTTAAGGCATGCTCCTATCACCACTCTTTGAAATAAATACTTTGGGAAAGCAATACAAGTTTCTTCCATATTAAGGTTTGCCATTAGGATGATTCTTTTCCCTGCCAACACAGACAAACTAAAACTGGCATTGCCTATTAAAGGTAAAAGCAGCTAGTTATAGGGAACATGTCATTCAGTTGGTATTAT